GGTCCTGTTTGGGTGCCTGTGCTGGGTACCGGTGCTGCAGCATCCGTGATGGCTCCGTGCCACCCTGGGCTGTCGTAGGATGCTCCCTCCCGGGGATGCAGCTGCAGGGAAAGCGCTTTTCTTGGCTTTTCCTATTTCCCACAGCCCACAGATGGGTAAACCGGGGGCCTCGACGGGGATGAGCTGCATTTCCTGGGGTCTTAGGCTGGGGCCATCAAGCTCTCCCTGATCGCCCCTTCTTTGCAAGGCACAGGCTGCTTTTGGAGGGGTTTTACTGGCAGGGGAGCCGGTTTCCATGGTAAAAACCTTAACAGCATCTGCCAAAAATGTGTCTTGCCATCTGGAGGGCACAAGGAGGCTTTGCTGGGGCGAGGAGGTGGCCATGGGCTGCTTTGGGTGCTCCTTCAGTGCCGTTGGCAGCTCAGAGGGGTCCCTGCTGCTGGTCCTTTATGCCCCAGGTTCAGATTCGTGCTTGAATGTGGGGGGGACCCCGGTGTCACCGAGCCTGGTGGGGCACAGAGAGGCTGGGGGATGGGGTGGACACGGCATCGCCGCTTGAGGAGGGAGGGCATTGGAGCGGGTGGCCGCGCTGTAATCGGATGAGCCGGCATCGCTCCAGATGGACCCGTCAGCTCTCGTCAGCACTGACACCCCTCTGGGTCCCTCTGTGTCCCCTCGGGCCAGGGAGGTGGTGACACTGTGTTTGCAGACCCCGTCAAGTGAACAAGGTCCCTTCCATGCTGCGGTCTCTTCGGGAAATTCCATGTTTTGTTCACTTTAATGGGAAAAACCTGGCATTTGTGTCTGTCCTGCGCTGAGGGCAGCGGGGCCTTGCCACCCCCTGTCCCCAGGTGCCACCCCACCACCCCAGATGATTTGCAGCCACAAACCCAAATCTGGCCACTCTGCCTTGCCTTGGTGTGCCTGTGCTGCAGCGGGGTCACTTGTCCTACCCTGGGTGTTCAGCATAGGAGAAAGCATCATGCTGGCAGCAGTGGACTGGGTTGGACTAGCAGGAGTGTCTGTGTCCCCAAATGTGCTTTGCGCTATGCCAGCATGGCACATGGATGGGTCTGGGTACTTGTGGGTAGAATATCTTGGTGTGTAGGATGCTGGTGTCCACCAGGAGAGGTTTTAGGGCTCAGCTCTGCACTCATTTGCTCTCCTCTCCTTAAACATCACGCCTTTCTCCTTCCCCTCGCAGCCGACCACCCTCCCGCAGGGCACCATCAACATGAACCAGTGCACGGATGTGGTGGATGGGGAGAGCCGGACAGGGCAGAAATTCTCCTTGTGCATCCTGACGCCAGAAAAGGAGCACTTCATCCGGGCCGAGAACAAGGAGATCATCAGCGGGTGAGTGCGGGGCAGAGCTGCCACGGGGCTCTTCCCTTGGCCAGGAGGAAGATAAGGGTGGGTAGGACCTTGCCCAAAACTGGGTGCTGTGGCACTGTGTACCCAGGCTGATCCCTGAGTGATGGTCACAGCCTGCTGCAGGGACAGTCCTGGGGACTGGGTGTAGCTGCTGCTGTGCAATCAGCTCCGTCTTCTCCACGTTATTGGCAAGGATGGGGTTTATTTCCCCTTGCTCCTCTCCCTTGCCTGGCAGACCCTGCCATTGCCTGGTGCTCTGCAGCAGAGCAGGGCCTGAGCACCCCCTGAGCCACCAGATTTATGGTGTGAGGTCCTGTCCCCACACCAGTCCCATAGTCCCGGGGGGGTGACCTGACCCCGAGCACCATACGCTCTCTGGTCCTTGTCCATCCCATGGCAGACGTGGCCTCCTGGGGCTGTTCACTCTGCGTTTACCCTCGCCTTTGCAGTGCCCGCCTCGCTCCTTGTGGGCGGCCCAGTGGAGGATGCAGCCCCCCACCACGGTCCCAGTGGAGCATCTGACCTCAGGACGATTAAATATCATCGGTCATAGGAGCGTCAGCTGCTGGGATGAGGTTGCTCAGCAACACCAGAGATTAGGTCACTAAAATGAGCAAATCGCGGTAGATTTCCCCACTCCAGGTGTTGGACAGTGACCTAGAAACGTCCTCGTCCATCGCTCGAGTTGGAGCTGACACCAGTGAGAGTGCAGAGCCACTGCCACGCAGTGCTGGACTGCAATGGTGCTGCTGCTGCTCACCTGAGAGCGTCTCCCACGTGGGATGTCTGCAGCTCGGTGCCTCCCTCCCAGATTTTGTCGACATTTGAAACCAGAGCAGAAACTTGAAGGGATGAAGCGCTCGCTCTTTCCCCCCCTTACCAAAGCACAGCGTCTCCTGCTTGCTGGCAGCAGCAGTGTCAGTGCTTTCTGTTGAGATGATTTCTATCTCCCCACAGCAGTGGGGTTGCAGTGGCTGCAGAGCCAGGGAGCAGAGGCACAGGGGAATCATGGCACAGGGGAGCCCCCTCCTCTCCTCCAGCCAAGGCGGGAGCGATGGCTGTGCCCCAAAACGTCCCAAACCCCCACGTCCTGCCCCGTTCTCGCGCTCCGCGTGCCCCGTTCTCAGCCCAGCCTTTTGTTGCCGGTCCTGCCGGCCGTGCGGGAGGGAGAGGCATTGCAGAGCAAGGTGGGGCTGATTTATTGTTCACTGGCCCAGCGCTGCATCTTGAAGCAGCGCGTTTTGCTCCTGACTGCGAGCATTAATCATCCCGAAACAGCCCCGCTCTGGGGCTGAGCCAAGCGGCTTTCATTCGCAGTTGCAGCACAACAGGAAGATCTCCCCGGCCGGGGGAGAATTTGTTTTACGTTTGTTGCATGCTTCTGGCATTTATTGCTTAACCAAAACCCACTTGATGTGGTCATCTCAAAACACTTCACAGCAGCAGCGTGCGAAGTGGGGAGAACAGAAGGAAACGGGGATATCTGAAGCAGGGAAGTTTCCCAGCGGCCTGTGGATCCTTGCTGAATTCACAGAGATGCAGGGCCAGGTTGTGAGGCTGCAGCAGGAGGGTCCCCCAAACAAGCAGTTCGTGCTGGGGATGGACTTCTTGGTGCCACGTTCACGCTGTTCTTTCTCGGACAAAAGCGCTTTGTGTGTAGCGAGCGGGTGCTGGCACAGCTGATGGGGGAAGGCTCTGCCAGAGGCTCTGTCCCTCTCGGCTCTTTCAACATCCTCAAAACCCTGTCCCGTGTCAGCCTTTGCCATGGAATTGCTCTTGCAGTGACTGGGGTTTGCCCTGCAGTCCATCCCTCCTGTCCTGCCTCATTTTTCCCACAGGAGCTGGTTGGGATGATTTCTGGGCACTGTTTGCTGCATTGATCCTGACCGGGTTGGAGGGGCTGAGCTCCTGCGTGCCCAGCTCCAGCCTGGGGCTGTGCTTCTGGCTGTTACAAAGCCCAGAAGGCTGGGGCTAGGGCTGAAGTGCGGATGCTCCGGCTCAGGAGGGAGTGAGCGGTTCCCTTGCAGTCAGCCTGCCCCAGGGGTCAATGGGGCTGCATCTCCCATGGGGGATATGGGATCCTGGAGGTAGGATGGGCTGGTCAGAGCCATTTTTGGGGGAAGTCAGAGCCAGCTTTGGGGTCTGCAGCCTGCAAGAAGCTGTGTTATACCCCACAGTGGAGCATGAGCATTGCTTGCATCCCTGTGCGCTGCCCTGCGGCATGGACCTCACCTTGTGCTCTTTCTCTGCCCGCAGATGGCTGGAGATGCTGATAGTCTATCCAAGGACAAACAAGCAGAACCAGAAGAAGAAGAGGAAGGTAGAGCCCCCAACTCCCCAGGTAACCCCAGAGACACACACACCCTGTTGCACAGTCCCTTGCCTCCCTCTCAGGACCACAGCATTGCTCTGCTCCCCAGGAAGATCCCCCTAAAACAACCAGTGGGGGACCAGCACTGATGCTGCTTGCGCTGAGGGTGAGAACTGAGGCAAACCAGGGTGGCAGGACAGCGTGAATTAATTCCTGGTCATCGCTCCCCAGGGTCACGCGCTGCTGCCGCTGCTTTCCTGGCTGCTTTCGGCCGTGTTTTGTCCCCCGGGTGCTGTCTTGTGGCTCCATCCCTGCACACGTTGTGCCAGGAAGGGCCACAAAGCCGCACTGTGACCGTGGGGGACCAGGGAGAGGTGGTGGCCATTCATGGGCTATTTCGGCAGTCACAGGATGAAATTCCATCGGACTCCGGTTACCCCCTTGGAGATGACCCCAGAGATAATGGGAATGAAAGGAAAATACTAAAGGCCAGGGCCAGGCTGGGAGCTCCGGGGGCCGGAGCCGGGCTCTCCAGGGACCCGCTGGTGGCTTCGTGCTCACTTTGACTATAAATGGTAAAAAGCGGAGCCGGCCGTGACTCACTCGTTCCTGCCGGGCTCCCACGTGGCCGGAGTGGGGGAGAATCCCACAGATGGGGAACGTGACCCCGAGGCCGCCCTCGTCCCGTGCCGGGGCTGAGAACAGCAGCGTCCCTGAGGCTGCTTGACCTCTGGGTGTGCGTCCCACCACCATGGGGGACTGACTGGGAGAGCTCCTCCGGCCGAGCCGGGCTGTGGCACCGGGGGGGTCCGAAAGCAGCACTGGGGCTCCCCTGAGCCCAAGTTTTCTGGTCCCCTTTGATGAAATCCCCAGGATGATCCCAGTGCAAACTGGGCTGCGGGTGGGTGTTGTATTGCATTTGTTTGAATCGAGTTTCCACTGCTCCACTGGATAAAGATGTTCTGGGCAATGGAAAAAGAAAATGGGGGGTGATGGTCCTTTTTTACACACCAGGGTTCAAGTCTGAACCACCCCCTGCCAAGGGCTGGGGTCATCACAGCCCCTTGAGCGCTGGCTCTGATGATGCTTTGGGGAAGATGCCTCCACCTTCAGTGGCCAAGAGCTGACATGTTATGAGTTGCCCGTTCTCAAGCCTCACGGAGGGGGCTGCCGCATTCAGCGCACCCCAGTGAGCTGACGGAGCGGGGCAGGGATGCTCACCCCATCCCTGGCGCAACGCTAAACCCAGGCTGGGTTCAAGAGGGGAACGAGGCGGGGAGAAGAAGGGGCGCAGAGCCAGAAAAACATCATTCCGGGTTACATTTCATCGCCATGGCAACTTCTTGGAAACTGTACAGAATCCCAGCTCCTGAGCACCAAATAAGGGAAGCGGCTGGGGGAAGGATGCTGGCTCCCCACAGGCAGACGGGCTCCCAGGTGCTTGGAGATGGGGTGAGCATGGAGCATGGTGGCACTTTTCCCCTTCTTGGCTTGGGGTTGTCCCCTCCAAGCCCTGTCCTGCTTGCTGCCCTCCTTCCACCTTCTCCATCCCATTGCTTCCAGCCCCATGGCACCAGGAAAAGACTGTAACTTCACTTTTGCAAATCCAGAGCTGTTGCTGGACGGGTGCTGTGCTGTGTCAGGCACTCAAGACCAACCTGCAAAGGCAGAAGCAGCATCTTTCCTCTGTCTCCCCAATTTTGCCGATGCCCGCGGCCGGGGTAGGGAAGGAGAAAGGATGCAGGGCAGAAAATCACCACCAAATCCCCTCTGTGAAATGGCTTCTCCTGAAGTTGGCAGCTGCTCAGCTCGCTCCCCGTGTGCCTGTGGAGAAAGCCTGATTTCTTTCTAAAGACGGCCGCCCACTAATCCGGCAGCAGATCATGTCTGAGAGCTGCTCAGGGAGGGATGGACACCTTTGGATTTAAAATAAAATAAATAAAGCAATGGCTATTCCTACTTTTTCTCACTCCCGTAGGGTTTTTCCTCCTCTGTGTTATAGCAGAGGTTAACTGCAGCTCCTGGGCCTTCAGCTCCCTTCATCATTTTTCATCCCCATGCAAAAACACCAGGGTGGGAGCAGTGCAGGTGAAGCTGGGTTGTTAGGTGCAGTTCTAGAGCTGTTCCCACCTTTGCTTTGCAAGGTTGCGGTCGTAGGGGGAAAGGATGGGTTTCTCCTGCAGCTTTTGCTGTGCAGGCAGTGGGAGAGGCTGGGCTGCCTCCCTGGGAAACGAAGGCAGGATTTGGGGCTGAAATGTGGGTTTTGAGGCGCTGCCCGCTGCTGCAGGACGGGTTTGCGCAGGGCTGCGGCAGGCTCGGGTGAGCAGGACGTGCCCAGACACACTTCATGCAGCTGGAGGCTGGTTTTGCCGATTTTGGTGCAACGCTCTTTTTTTTGGAGTTGTTAAGCATCAAAGAGTTAATTTCTCTACTTGCAGACTGCTTTTTGGCCCTCAAGATCTCTGTCTAATTAAATACATCTCTACAAATAATTATCTGGGGGCGTGTGTAAGGAATAGCTAAAAATATATATCCTGAGCTGGCGATTAGCTTTGGGCGTTTGGATTGATCAATGAGAGAGCGCTTGAGGTTGGAAGGGCCCTTGGAGATGGGGTGGTCCGACCCCATCTCCAGCGGCACCCCCTCTTGCAGGATGCCTGTGAACTCTGGATCGTTTTCCTCCAACACTGCATTCCTTCAGAGAGAAATTTCCAAGGGGATTTTTTAAATAAATTGAGGTCATTTGCTGCTTCTTGTGGCTGTGCACAGAGCCAGGACCCACTCCCTGGGAGATCCCCAGCGGCTCCGGCTCACCCCTGCCAATGCTGGTTTGGAGGTGCAGGAATAATCCCCCGGTGGCTCTGGTGACGTGGGAGGGGGACAGAGGGGATGCTCTTCACATCTGGATTCCCCCTGCGCCATGGAAAGGGAACAAAGCAGTCAGGAAACTTCCCACAATCCAGAGACTTTGGAGGAGGATTAATTATCATTGATTTATTGGTGGCTTTGAGGAAAATAATCTGTTAATGCGGAAGCTTAATAGGACAACAGCAAAGCATCTGCTAACGAACAAAGCCAAACCCTAAACGGGTTGTGAAAGCTGCTGCCTCTTCGGGGCCATGCACTGAACCTGGGGCCACCAGAATGGCCTGATGGACTCCAGAGCCCCTCGCTAGCTACAGAAGCATTGAAGATGATGGGTGGTGGTTTAAAATAGCATAAAACTCAATGCGATGTTGTATTTCCTTTATAAAAGAAGCAGCCTGTTGGGTAACCAGAGGACCTGGGTGCTGATTGGGTTTTATTGTTTTTACCAGTGGCCCGTAGCAAACCGGTTGTGACAAACAAACACCACAGCTGCTGGTGGCAGGGAATTATTTTTCTTCTCCATGTGCTTGATTTAATTTTTGGTGGTTTTTTTTTTTACATTAGTTGTAACACTGGGAAAGTTCAGTCCTGGCAAATGAGACCTGGGACAGAAACCTGGTGTTGGTTTGTGTCTGTGAAAGGCGGTGGCTGCCCATGGGCTGGCCCGCAGGGGGACCAGGGACACGCAGAGGGACATGGGGGATGCTGTGTTTGTTTGCATTAATTACAAAGGGTGCACTGTCACCCCAAATTGGCTTTTGGCAGAGGTGAAGGGAGCATTTCCAGGTTCCCCAGCAAGTCAGGACCTGACAGACCCATTTCTCCGTCCCGTTGTGGTATCCATCATGGGCAGCACCCAGCCCATGCGGGACCCACACCTCTAGGGACAGCCCTGTGGGGACCCTGGGTGCAGAGCTGTGGTGAACCCCTCTAACCCCGCTGTCTCTCCTGTTCTCTTTAGGAGCCCGGTCCTGCTAAGATGGCCGTGACCAGCAGCAACATCCCCAGCGCCGAGAAGGTCCCTGCCACCAAGTCCACGCTTTGGCAGGAAGAAATGAGGGGCAAAGACCAAGTGGACGGGGGCAGTGGCATCAGCCCAACACAGAGCCCGGTGCAAGGCCAGGCCGGGGCTGCCAGCTCCCTGAAGGACCCCGTGCTGGACAGCAAGGAAGGTGAGGGACAGCGATACCAGCACTGGGAGGATGTTGTGGTGACCTAGTTTAGGCAGCTGAGCTGGTAGAAAAAAAGCATACAGGGAAAAGTTTGCCACAGGTTTGGTTCCTAGAGCATCCCAGCAAGGGATGCTGCATTGTGCAGGAACCTGAGTGAGACCTTACAGGCTGGAGGAAAGAAGGAATAAATTAGCATCACGTGCTGGAAAAACCACACAGCATGGGGCTCAGTCCTGTCCTGACAATGAGACAGGGCTGCCTGGCCTTGCAGGTGGCGTTGCCCTCAGAAAAATGAGGAGGAAAATGCCTTTTCTAGCCCCTTCATGGCCCTGCCTCGTGCACCCGGAGGGCGTGGGGCCACGCTGCGCTCACCCTTGCTGTCCAGGCTGCCAAGCCCCGTGCGCCGCTTCCTCAAGCCCCTGCGCCAGGGCCCTGTTTACTTTTGGCCTCCTCAATGAGTCCCTGGAAGGCGCTGGGGCTGTGACATTGTTCTCTCTGGAGCAATAAGGGCTGGGGACTCTTCCTGCTGGGGCTGCAGACAGGTCCCACGTGCTGCCGCTGTTTCCTTTATCTGCCCACTCGGATGGGGTATGCTTTCCGCCTGCTGCCAGGAGCGGGGTGTCCTTGCATCCACGGAGCTGTGGTCAGTGCCGGGCTGGGAAGGACAGGGATGGAAATGGCAGCAGTAACCACAGCCATCCCTTTCTTGGTTTGAAGGTTTATGTCTTCTATCCGTGCAAGCCCGACCCAAGGGTTGGAGCAGCGTCCCCAGCTCCACTCCATGGGCTTGAGGGGTGGTCAGGTGCAAGCAGTGGCACAGCACAGTGCTGGGGCCTGGACTATCTCACATTTCCTGCCCCTATCCTAGGTGGAATCGGGGGGGGGGGTTTGTTAAAAGCAGAAAACTCAGACTCAAAACCTAACGCGATGACTTCTCCGTCCCTTAGATGAGAGCTCCATGAACGGAGACCGGATCGACTGTGGGCGGAAGACGCGTGTGGAGAGCGGGTACTTCTCCTTGGAGAAGACCAAGCAAGACTCGAAGCTGGAAGAGCAGCAACTGCCGCCCCCACCGAGCCCACCCAGCCCCAGCACCCCGAACAACAGGTACAGTTATCCCAAATCGCCCTCGCAGGAGCATGCCCAGCCCTTTCCTTCCCCAGGTACCCGATCAGGCGACCGAATGATTCACAGCTTCTCTCTGAACTCCTTGGACTCGAAGAGCAGTTGCCCCATGCACAAGGACTCCAGCAGCAGAGATGTAGGAAGGGGAGCTGAAAAATCGGGGCGTCCCCTTTCTTTTAAAGCCAGCCGGCAGTACACCACCCTGGCCGACGTTCCCAAGGCCATTAGGATCAGTAATCGTGAGGCCTTCCAGGTGGAGAGGAAGCGGCTAGAGCGGAGAACCCGGGCCCGTAGCCCTGGGAGAGAAGAAGTGGCCCGGCTCTTTGGCAATGAGAGAAGGTAAGGGATGAGTGGCTCATCTCCTCCTTGCATGCTTGCAACGGCGGCGAGGCTGCGTCCCCACCGCAGCCCTGGACGGAGCAGGCGGCGTTTGCCGGTGTAGCCCCTTTGTATTGCAGTGCTCCTGGGTTTAAGGCCACCCATCCACACCGACCAGGTGGTGGCACGTCCTTAGTAGTGAAAGCGGGCGGGTGTCACCCTGCTTTGGGGACAGCTGCCTGAGGTGGGTGACGCTCGATGGCCGTATTTGCAAGCAAGCTCGCTCTCCCCGTCCCCTCCCCGGCGCGGCACACGCTGGCAGCTGGCACCATTAATTAGGTTAGCTCTCTAAACGGTGTTAGTGCCGGGCGCGTTATGCAACTGCCTAATGAGCTGAGAGAGGTTTCAAAATGTCATGGCGTTAATCTGCGAGAGGAGAGGCGGGGGGAGGGGCACGGGT